GGTGCGGCTTATAGTCCGAAAAATACGATATTTTATAGCTAGCATATTGGCGATTAGCGAAGCTAAATTTTATTTAGCTTTGGCCACCACTGCTGATAATAAATAAATAAACAAACCACACTGGATTTATCCACAGTTTGTCACTGAGTTCAATGAGACATTCATGAAAACTTCTCCATTTTTCCCACATTTTTAAACATTTGAGTCACTAATTCATCTCAGCAGTCGCAGCTCTGTGAGATACCACCTTAGGAGACGTTCAAATGTTTATTGTTACCTTCAAGTTCTTCCTTCTCAAAGTTGGTGTTGAGCATGGAGCGTGTGCCCCCACGGTCCACCACTGCCTCCTCATCGGTTCTCTGCAGGAGACACAAACAAGCAGCTGTTACTCATCAAATAAGACTCTTTTAACAACTCTCTGTTTTTACCAGATATTTCATGTTTCCCTACACTGAGCGAAAAAACTGACTTTATGACAGCTGATGATTTCTTTAGGCAGATATCTGGATGCTGCAAGAGAGATTAGGGTGGGGCAAAATCATAAATTAATCGTCAGGAAAAACTGCCAACAAATAAAATTTGGCGCTTTGCGATTACTGTGATTAGTGACTAGTCACGGTGGTGAAGTGCTAACACTAAAGCTAAAGCAGACCTATTGCTAACAAGGAGCTAATAGTTGCTGTGTCCAAAYTTAGGGTCTGCGTCCTCCAAAGACCAAACTTGTCAGCCAGAAATCAAACTAGCTGGTATGATGCAATAAACATGAATGTACGGCAGTACGGCAGGTCCTTTAGTTCTTCGAACAGTGTCTTGAAGGTAGTTTTGTTATTTTATAATAATAATAATAATAATGTTTTGATATTTTGGTCATTTCAATCTATTTATTTTTTTGCTAGGCGACAGGTCATATGCCAGTGTAAGGGTAAGAATAAAGCCGACCATCCAAATTCACAGCCGCCTTTTTCTGGTCTTTGTGACAAAACAAAGACCCGACCCTTCAGAGGACGCAGCCCCTGATTTTGGACACAGTCAATAATGCGGAGCTAACGCTAATGCTAACACTTAGCTTATGTTATTGCATGGCTGACTTTAACACAGAGCTAACACAAATGTCGAGCTAACACTAATTCTAACGCAGAGGTAACATTAACGCAGAGCTAATGTTGATGTGGTGCTAAAATTAATGCTAACATGTAGCTAACAATAATGCAGAGCTAACACTAACAAAGAGCTAACACTAATGTAGCACTAACACTGACAAAAAGCTAACACCAATGTAGCGCTAAACGTAGCACTAAAACTAATGCAGAGCTAACACTAATGCAGAGCTAACACTAATGTAGTGCTAACACTAATGTAACGCTAACACTAATGCAGAGCTAACACTAATGCAGAGCTAACACTAATGTAGTGCTAACACTAATGTAACGCTAACACTAATGCAGAGCTAACACTAATGCAGAGCTAACACTAACGTAGCACTAACACTAATGCAGAGCTAACACTAATGTAGCACTAACACTAATGCAGAGCTAACACTAATGTAGCGCTAACACTAATGCAGAGCTAACACTAATGTAGCACTAACACTAATGCAGAGCTAACACTAATGCAGAGCTAACACTAACGTAGCACTAACACTAATGCAGAGCTAACACTAACGTAGCACTAACACTAATGCAGAGCTAACACTAATGTAGCGCTAACACTAATGCAGAGCTAACACTAATGTAGCACTAACACTAATGGAGCACTAACACTAATGCAGAGCTAACACTAACGTAGCACTAACACTAATGCAGAGCTAACACTAATGTAGCGCTAACACTAATGCAGAGCTAACACT